ATAGACAAATTGATATAAATCGGGTACATATTAGTTTAAAATCAGGCAGATACCCGATTTATTGTATTTTGACTAGTAATACCTTACAAGGCTTATCATTATGCATAACTCATGTGGAATGAGTAAAAAGTACTATTTTTAAGTTTTTCTCGAAATAGTATCTTAACCCAAATTCGGTCAACAATCTCATAACACATACGTTATCTGTGCAACCAAATCTTTATACGAATTTTTTTGAATTTTATTTACAAATGTTTATAGAAAAAATAATACTCAAACTTTAGATTTACTCCAAAGCTGATACAAAAATTTATTTATTTTAACAAAGACATATATATTTTCGGTTTTATAGTTTCTTTAATAAAAACTAAAGGCTCTACTAGGTGCTCAAACAAAATAAAATACATAGTGATCTTTCTTTACGCCGTAATGCTGAAGATGTCGAGATCTCCAATGCACATTCTGCATATCTAGAGGTACCCTATGACAAATGTAATGTAATGTCAAGTATAAAGATTGGCGTAAAGTGCATATGAGGTTTTTTTCTTTGTTGCCCTTCCCTTTACACTACCATTCAGAGACAGGTGAAACCCATTTATAAAGGGCAGTATAGTGAAAATATTGTTATTTATTGCTTATTAGTGATTCTGTTTTATTTTTTTTATCACTTTTGATTAATTTTTTTTTTAAAAAAAAAAATAAAAATGAATTTTGAAGTTGAAAAATTTCTTCGTATTGAGGAGAAGTCTGTCGCTCTTGCTGTAGTAATCGTAGAATTACCCTATATAAAAGGATTAATATTCGAAGTGGATCTTGTTGAAATGCTAAAGAGCATTGGTGCTAAAGTTATCCATAAAGGGTGAGTTTCTCATTGAGTTATTTGTTAAGTTGTTGTATATTCGAAGTTACGCTGCCACATCGGTGTAAATATCTAGTAAGAAATTGAAAGCACATCGTGGCCACTGTTTTAGCAGTGAACGTTCTTTCTTTCTAGTTTCTAATGTTTCCGAGATGCTTAGGCACTGGGAATTCATGATGAATAGGATACACTCTAACATAGAAAGCACTGTCATTGACTATTCTGCCTGTGCAACTTCTTTGGTTAGTTGATAATTATGATGCAAGTATTCATATTTTATTTTAATTTAGGAGATCAGGTGATAGTAGCATCGATATTATATGTGAAATTGCCACGACACGATTTATTATCCAATATAAAATTGGGTCAGACTCAATATAGGTATTATTATTATATTAAATCAGATGTTTGGGCCTGCCTTCTCGCAATACTTGCTCGAAGCCAGATATAGTTAGTTAACAAATTTTTAGCCATATATATTTGGCAGTTAACTATATATCTTTTTTTCGAGCTTGCGAGAAAAAAATAAAATTCAATTAATAATATTAAATATATTCACAGATCACCCGGTTGTAGATGAGTTGCTTGGTGTGCTCACTCAAACTAAGCAACCAAAAGGGACCATTGGTATAATAGTAGGTTCCTCTATGGATAGCTTTACTCCTGGCGCAATAGATGCGGTACTAGAGATAGCAGAACCACTGGAACCATCAGAACTATTGGATCCATTGAAACAACTACCTATATATCCCATCATTGTAACAGGTATAGACCGATTACCCAAATATTTAATTAATGCAGTTCTTGATAGGTTACATAACGAACCTTATACCTTCTCCCTCCTACTATGAATTTGTTTAATCCATTGTATATAGTTTTTTTCTTATTGTTGTTTAATCCATTGTATATAATTTTTTTTACTTTTCTTTTCGTATCAATAAAGCTGGCCCCGGTGGCTAATTTGCATACATAATCACGTTTACTTTGCATGTGTATTTCGTGAATTTATTTTATTATATTGATATCAATATATAACTCGCATATGATCAAGAATTTTTCACGCAGACTATTGATCAAAAGAAGTTATTAATTGCTTTGCAGGCTTAGATAAACATCATTAGTAGATCATGGTTTAACATTAATA